CCCCGCCCCCCTCCGCGACGCCCCGCCCCCCTCCGCGACGCCCCGCCCCGCCCCGCCGCACTCGCGCCTGCGCCTTGCGCAACGACCGGCCTCGAGCGCCCCGGCGGGAGGTAAGGGGCTCTGGGGAGGCAGGCTCCGGGGTGTTTGGGCCGCAACTGGCTTGGTGGGCCAGACCCACCCGGAGAGCAGGAGAGGCGCAGGACTGGAAGCGGGGCATTAGATCAGAAGTGCGCGCGCCCTGAGGATTCCTCTTGCCTTTCAAAAGTGGCGGAGCCTCCCTCGGTTTCGGTTTTGGAGGAGCTGTTCGAGGCTGGAGTAGAGGGGCCGCGAACGGTGCGGGTGGGACGGCCTCCCGGAGTCGCGGAGCGGGAAAGTTCCCGGCGCCGGTTCCGCCCCAGACTCACCGTGGGCCGCGGGTCGTCAGTGTCGCTGGTCCCAGGACGTATCCGCGCATCCGTTCGCGGTGGGGCCATTTGGTATGTGTGGCCCAGGTGTGCCGTGGGTGACACTGCGAGGAATGACGCGACGCTCGGGGACAGTGAGGGGAGGACAGGGAGCGAGAGGTCGGAGCCCCCTGCCAGCTAGCCCGAGAGGTGGTTTGCAGAAGATCCCACACCCAGCTCCGTCCTTTCAGGAAACTCAAGCTCAGGGAGGAACCATACGGTGGACCCAAGGCCTTGACTTTTCTCTCCAAATCCAGTAGCTCTTCCATAAGTCACAAACACAAAGCGACGTGGCCGAAGAAATCGGGTGCCACCAACATGCTGAAATGTGGGATGTCTGGGCTGATGGAAGGTGTTCATCACTTTTGGGAGGAGGGGTTGCCACGGTTTGGGGCTTTTTTCTGGGAATTGGGGCTATTCACTTATAAATTAACCCCTTAGGTAAGTTAGTTAACCCCTGAGTACTTTTTCCTCATCGGAAACATGAGTATTATGGTACCCATCTCATCTTAATTGTAAGCACTAAATGATAAAACTCGCAAAGCATCTGACACAGTCCTGGCACCCCTCTCTGCAAGTGACTATGACTGTAATTCTTTGAATTCTAAATGTTTTTTCCTGTCTTATGTGAAACATTCTCTTATACATTTTTAAAAACTTTTTCATTTTGAAATAATTTTACAATTACAGAAAAGTTTCAAAAGTAATAGAGTTCTCTGTAACTTCCCTTAATCATTTTTCATTTCATAGTACAATAAACAAAAGCAAAAGTTAATATTAGTACAGTACTATCAACTGAACTATGGACTTTCTTCTGATTTTATTTTTTACAACAATGTCCTTAGCTTCCATCTAAGAACCCCACTTTGTATTTAGTTGTCTTGAGTCCTTGGTTTCCTCCAATCTGTGACAGTTCCTCAGTCTTTTCCTATTTTTCATTATCTTTACACTTTTGAAGGATCCTGGTCATTTATTTTGTAGAGTGTCCCTCACATAGAAGTTGTCAAGTGTCAGGGGTATTTGTTTTTGTTAACAATACCACAAAGATGTATGTGTCATTCTCAGTTCATCATATTAGGGTCCATGATATGACTTACTGCTCGTGATGTTAATTTTGATCACTTGGTAAGATAGTGTCTGCTGGTATTCTCCAATGTAAAGGTACTATTTTCCTCCTTATAATTAATTGGGGGGAAACTTTTAAGCTGTGCAAATACCCTGTTTCTCCTCCAACTTTTCCTTGCTAAACTTAGCATCCACTGGTGGCTCTTGTCTTCAGTAATTATTACAATAGTGTTCTAGTGGTGATTCTATTTCCCTAATTTCTTCATTGATTAATGGGAATTCTTCTGTATAAATGAGCTATCATTCTCCCCTATTTATTTATTTGCACTCAGTTATTGCATAAGCATGGACTCAGATTTTTTTTTTTTTTATTGGTTGTTGTCTTGTGTTATTTTATCTTAAATTGTTCCTGCTTTGACCATTGGGAGTTTTTTTCAGGTGACTTCCTGTTGCCTTTCAATATGCTCTCATACTTTTTTGAAAACTTTCTTGCACCATCTGATGCTCTAGGTTCTTTTGTTTTCCCTACCTCAGCCTAGAGGTAGGCTGAGGTAGGGAAGTTTCCTTCCTTCCTTCCTTCCTTCCTTCCTTCCTTCCTTCCTTCCTTCCTTCCTTCCTTTCTTCCTTCCTTCCATTTAAACACCAAGGTCTTGGTACTAGGTATGTTAATTGCTATTGGGGTGTCATTGCTTCTGGGGTCTCACAGTAGACAGTAGTGTATACATATTCCCACTCATGCATACACAAAGATATCTATCTATCACCTATCTATCTATTTTTAAAGTTCATCCCAGTACTTCTACTTCTAGTCTAACACCACAAGTTTCATTCTAGTTTTGTCTCTTATTTGTAACTTCTTTCTCTGGTGGTAAGAAATATGGGTTTTGCTGGGTATGGTGGCTCACGCCTCTAATCCCAACACTTTAGGAGGTAGAGAGGATTGCCTGAGCCCAGGGGTTCGAGACCAGCCTGAACAACTTGGCAAGACCTCGTATCTACAAAATAAAAAAATTAGCTGGGTGTGGTGGAACATGCCTGTGGTTCCAGCTACTTGGAAAGCTGAGGCAGCCAGATCACCTGAGCCCAGCACGTCGAGGCTGCAGTGGCTGTGATCATGCCACTGCACTCCAGCCTGAGTGACAGAGTGAGACTCCAATTCAAAAAAAAAAATATATGGATCTTATGTTCTATAAAATATTTTCTTATTTCTTCAGTCCTTATATGCACATAAAGTAATTCTATAATTTCTAACCTATACTCCTGTGGGAAACAAATTTACTAAACAGAGTACAGTGCGGTTCTTGTCTTTAGCCTTACGGTTCAGTTAAAAATAATTGTTTTCTAAGGTAACTTAGATTATTTTCTTTCCTACTTCTTTCAGTGTTGTTATGCTATTTATTTATAATACTTTTTAATAGTTTATATTACATTTTGAGTTTCCCTCACATCCTGTTATTATTAAAATTTATATACAATAAAATTCACTGTTTGCAATCTTTGGGTTTTGACAAATGCATATGGTTGTGTATCTGCCATCACTGTTGTGATGGCAGAACAGTTCCATCACTCCAAATATATCATTACATTTTTCTTAAATGTTACACATAATAACTCCATTGGAATTTGGAAAATTAGGTGTTCTGGTGAATTTTGTCTTATCTTTTTCATAGGCATATTTTACACAGTTGAGATCTTAAGGTAAATGTATTTTTAATCCATGTGCTTTAATTATGTCAGATATACATTTCATCTGTATGACTGGAATATCAAGAAATGCCAAAACATATTTTCATTTGTTACTTAATCACATTTCTAAACCATATTTTTTATTTTGAATTAGAACCTTCCTATAACAACTTACAAACATTTGATCTATTTTGTGGTCATATCCACTGCTATACAACTTTCAGTTTTAATAACACTATGATGTATGCAATAATTTGATGGTTATGTTCTTAGTTTATATAGGAATTTTGTTATAATTTTGTAAAAATAGAAAATGGTAGAGAGAAGGAAAAAAATAGTAGCTAGAAGGATGCCTGGAGTTGGAAAGGTCACTTTGGAGGTTCTTGAGGCAGAATATCTTCCCTGAGAGATGGCCCAGGTTCTCCTTGTGTACATAAAGCTGGGAGGCAGAGTCATCATGTGTAACTTTTATCTGGAAATATCACTTGTGGAATTCAAGAAAGAAAACTATTATAGTACAGGGAACAGTGAAAACTAGACAAATCATACATAGTAATTATCAATACATAGTAATTGTACATATTTATAGGGTACATGCGATATTTTGTTACATTCCTACAATGAGAAATGATCAAATCAGGGAATTTAGGTCCTCCATCTCCTCTAAGATGTATCATTTCTTTGTGCTGGGAGCATTTCAGATGTTCTCTTCTAGCTGTTTTGAAATATACAATAAATTATTATTAACTGTAGTCACATTGCTGTGCTACTGAATGCTAGAACTTATTCCTTTGATCTGACTGTCACCCCCTTCCCATCTTCTGATAACCATCTTTCTACTCTCACCTCCATAAGATCAACTTCCCAGTTCGGCCTGGAACTCCTGGGCTCAAGTAATCCTCCCACCTCAACGTTCTGAGGAGCTGCAAATACAGGAATGTGCTCCCACATATGAGTGAGAACATGTGATATTTTTCTGTGCCTGGCTTATTTCACTTAACACAGTGACCTCCAGTTCCATCCATGCTGCTGCAAATGACAGAATTCCATTCCTTTTTAGGTTGAACAGTGTTCCGTTATGTATATATACCATATTTTCTCTATCCATTCATCCATTGATGGGCACTTAGGTTGATTCCATATCTTAGCATTTGTTATAGTACTGCAATGAACATGGCAGTGCAGGTATCCTTGGGATATACTGATTTCCTTTCTTTTGGATAAACACCCAAGAGTGGGATTGCTGGATGGAATGGTAGTTCTATTTTTAGTTTTTTGAGAAACTGCCATACTGTTTTTCATAATGGTTGTACAATTTACATTCCCACCAACAGTGTATAAGGGAAATTTTACACCACATCCATTTGTTAGTTTTTTCTTTGTTTTTTTCTGAGTTGGAGTCTCACTCTGTCACATAGGCTGGAGTGCAGTGGCATGCTCACAGCCACCATTGCCTCAACCTACTGTTCTCAGGTGATCCTTCTACTTCAGCCTTCCAAGTAACTTGAACCACAGGCGTGCGCCATCATGCCCAGCTAATTGTTCTGATTTATTGTAAAGATGAGGTCTCACTGTGTTGCCCAGGCTGGTCTCAAACCCTTGGGCTCAGGCAATCCTCTCACCTCAGCCTCCCAAAGTGCTGGGATTACAGGTGTGAACCACCACACCTGGCCGCATTTGTTATTTTTTCTTTTTGCTAATAGCCATTCTAACTGGGGTGAGATGATACCTCATTGTGTTTCTGCATTTCCCTGATGGTTAGTGATTTGTGATGCATTTTTTAAAAATTTAATTTTAAAGTTGTGGGGTACAAGTCAGGATTGCGTACATAAGTTGTTTTGGTACAGGTGAAGTTTCAGGCCTCCTGTTGAACCTCACTTCACCTGGAGTAGGATCAGGTGCATTTTTTAATATACCTGTTGGCCATTTGTATTTCTTTTTTTCTTTTTTTTAACTCCAAGTTTCACTTTGTCGCCCAGTCTGGAGTGCAGTGGCACAATCATGGCCATTTTAGCCTTGACCTGCTGGGCTCAGGTGATCCTTCTGCCTTAGCCTTCCAAGTTGTTGGGACTACAGACACATGCCACCATGCCCAGCTAATATTTTTGATTTGTTGTAAAGACAGGTCTCACCAAGTTGCCCAGGCTGGTCTCGAACCCCTAGGCTCAGGCAGTTCTCTCACCTCCACCTCCCAAAGTGCTGGGATTACAGGTGTGAGCTATCATGCCTAGCCAGACATCTATACTTTTGAGAAATGTCTATTTAGATCCTTTGCCCACTTTTCAGTGGGATTATTTGATTTTTTTTTCTTTGCTGTGGAGTTGTTAGAGTTTCTTGTATATTCTGGATATTATTCCCTTGTCAGATGAATAGTTTGCAAATATTTTCTCCCATTCTACAGGTTGTGTCTTTGTTGGTTGTCTTAAATAAATAATCGGGGGTGGCAGTATGGATTTATGTGTAAGGTAGGGTAGTTGCACTGTAGTTTAATAATAGAAAATTGGAGTCGGGCTCGGTGACTCAGCCTGTAATCCTGCGCTTTGGGAGGCTGAGGTGAGTGGATTGCCTGAGCCCGCGGGTTCGAGACCCGCCTAGGCAACTTGGCGAGACCTCATCTCTACAATAAATCAAAAAATTAGCCGGGCGTGGCAGCGCACGCCTGTAGTTCTAGCTACTTGGAATGCTGAGGCGGAAGGATCGCCGGAGCCCAGCAGGTCGAGGCTGCAATGGCCAGGCAACAGAGTGAGACTCCAACTCAAAAAAAAAAAAGGAAACAATCTAAATAGCCAACAATAGAAAATTAATTAAATTGTTAAGCATTTATATTAATTATAGCAAATTGTTTACATGGAAACATTCTTATTATATTTAATCACATTATTCAAAATAAAGACTGTCTTTGTTATGTCATTCTTTTTTTATTCTACCTAGTAACAGTTTATTATATTTATTGCTCCTTGACATTGCACTCCTTTGGGTTTATTTTCTTTGTTGTTAAAATATGCCTCTTAGTAGTTCTTTTAGTGAGAATCCTGGTAATAAACTCTCAGTCTTTGTATGGATGAAAATGATTATTTTGCTCTCACTCTAAATGATAATTTACCTGGGTATATACTAACTCTCTCAGCACTTTGAAGATGTTTTTAATATCTTGCTTTGAATAAAAGTTTGCTGCTTTTGTTGTCTTCATTTATCTGTCTTTTATCTCTGGTTTCTCTGGTTTGCTTTTTAAGATTCTTTGCCCTTAATATTCAACAATTTCCCTTCCATGTATTTAGGTAAATGTGTTTTTTATTTATATTTATATAAATATTTATATTTATACTTGCATGCTTTTTCACTTTGAGATCTTAACATTTTAATTCTCAGCATATTCTGTTTGAATAATTCCTTTTCATCATCTTCTTTGTTCTTTCCTTATGGGACTCTTATTTGTTTTTGAGCTTTTCATTTTATCCTTTATGTCTTTTATCTTCTTCTTATACGTTTCATCTTTTGCTCCTCTGTGTTCTGAGTGAAAGCTTCCAATCAATAATTCTCTCTTCAGCTATATAGTTTACTGTTTAACTCATCTTTTTAAGATTTTTTTGCCCTTAATATTCAACAATTTCCCTTCCATGTATTTAGGTAAATGCGTTTTTTATTTATATTTATATAAATATTTATATTTATACTTGCATGCTTTTTCACTTTGAGATCTTAACGTTTTAATTCTCAGCATATTCTGTTTGAATAATTCCTTTTCATCATCTTTGTTCTTTCCTTATGGGACTCCTATTTGTTTTTGAGCTTTTCATTTTATCCTTTATGTCCTTTATCTTTTTTTTTTTTTTTTTTTTTTTTTTTGTTT